TGAGAACAACAATGCTATCATGGATGTATGGGATGTTGGAAAATCTTCATAATATATTTATATATATAATATAGTTATATAAATGATTAAAGAGTTGTGACTTTTGAGTTTAAATCAAAGGATGTAACCATTGAGTTTAAACAAAAAGGTGTGTCTGTTGGATTTAAACCATGGGGTGTAACTATTGGATTTAAACCAAGAAATATGACTCTTGGATTTAAAAAGGTGTCACTTTTGAATTTAAAGGACATAACATCTGGTCTAAGTGACAAATCCATTCCTATATAAGGCAGAATGGATTGGAAATAGGATAGAAATCACCCATATGAAATCCATAGAATTTATCTTTAACATTCATATTGTTATTTTCTTCTATACTTGGTGGATTAAAAAAATTCAACACTATTCCAGATCTGATTTCGTTCGTACATAATGCAGTCAAACATCAGTCTTTAGACTGGGTTTCATTGTATCCTGGAGGAGGATTCGCGGGTAACCCGGTGCATACCATATTCGACAGAATTGGTGGGGGCGAATATCGTCTTAAGGAAAGCGATATTGTAATCCGCCTTAAAGCAATACTAATTATTTTTTTGTTTTATCTCTTTCCATCTCATTAACCAAATTTGCACCAACAATCTTAAGACGATATTTCAAAAAAAATGAAAATTGATAAATATTTATTGAAAGATTCAAGGAACAAAGGAAGTCCTTATATAATGATTGTTGTAGAACTTTACTTTGTTTTGGGTATGTCAAAATTTTTTGATTGAGTTTGCCATGCATAAAATATATGCGCGTAAAAAGGTACACATTTTCAAATGAATTATTTATATTCTTTATTTTATTACAAATCGAAATTTATATGATATTAGTAATATGTAGTACTTATTTGCATGCTGTTATATCCAATTTCTTTGGTTCCAATAAATCAGGAGTTTTATTGTTACTAAAAATTACTTTCTTCCTCTTTTCATGTTATGACACTGATATCTTCAGTTTATTCAATGAAAGTAACTTTTGGGAGCGGTTATAAATTTCTTTGCCTTGTGAAAATTATTAGATTCTTTGGTCTTTTTTCCGAAGTAGATTTTCACGTGCGTAGGGTGTGTGAAGAAAACAAAATTAATAATGTCCATCTTCCATGTATTCGTATTAATTGATGGCATCACTATTTTATAATGAAAATTTCATGCGATATAGTGCATCATTGATCATTAGTAGAACATAATGACCAGGACCATACTTTGCAAGTAGAAAAGGTAGAGTTTAAAATTAACTTTTTTTTTTTTTGAAAAACTAGATCGTTTGCATGAAGTAACTCTGGTTGTTTGTTTAATATTCAGTAATTTTTTTTTTATTCATGGGTAGATCATCACATAAAGTTTAAAGAGAAAATGATGTCTTGTTCGTTTAATATTCAATATTTTTTTGTTTTATTCATGGGTAGATCATCCCATAAAGTTTAAAGAGAAAAGGATGTCTTGTTTGTTTAATATTCAGTATTTTTTTGTTTATTCATGGGTAGATCATCACATAAAGAGAAAAGGAGGTCTTATTGTATAAAGTCAAAAACACTTTGAATAATTGAAAACAAAATTGTAAATTGACTGAATTTTTTTTTGCTTAAAAGACTTGTTTTGAACATTGTTTAGTCATGTCAATTTTTGTCTACATCCTTTGCTAAGGAAGAACCTTCGAATTATCAATGCATGACAAGTTTGATTTTTCTATATTGATGCTTGGTCATATCTTCTTCGAGTTTTATTTATTTTTTATTTTTTTTTCATGGGTTCATTGATTATTTAAACTTTTTGTCTTCAATGGGTCAACCAACGTGGGTTCAGTTTGTGTTCAGTCTGAGATCAGATTAGATAATATTGTTGGATTTGTGGGGATTTACCACAGGTCTCGTTTTGATAATTCAAACCGTTCAATGTGTAGAACTCATCGAGTACTATATGATTATAATAATTCACATTGATCGGATATCAATAATTATGTAATCAAATCAGTTTTGTATAAAAAAAAATAGATGGTGAACAATTAACGGTTAACAAAAAATATTTTGATCACATAGCTATCGATATCCGATCAACGTGATTTTTTGCAAACATATAGTACTCAATGAGTTTTATACATTGAACGGTTCGAATTATCAAAACGAGATCTCATGATAGGTCTCATAGATCTAACAACACCGTTTAAGACCCCGTGATAAATCTCACGAATCTAACAATACCGTCTAGTCCGATCACGGACCAGACAAAAGCTGCTCTCCTTCTGATTATATAATATTATTCTAACGAAAAGCAATGATTTGATATGAATGGTAGGTTGGCTCGTTGGTTGGTTAGGTTAGGGTCGTTCTCATGCAGCGAGATCTAGGCATATGAGACTAATTTTTATTTTTTCTAATAATATATATTTTGGGGTTCGGTTTTTTAGGGATTGTTTGGATGTTCTAAATAAGTATACTTTTTGACTTTTTATGAAATATGGGTTGGGTTTGAAGTGATGTGGTAGAGATGTAATGTGATTTAAATAAGATAATGTGACTTAAATAAGATAGTGACTTTTTGACTTTTTAACTTTTTAACTTATTTTAAAGATGCCAAACTTGACCTTAGTGTTCGTACGACTACGGATTATGGCTAGTCAGATGTGTTTGTGATGTCCCAGTGAATTTAGCCTTCTAGGCTTCGTTTGTTTTTGGAGATAGAATGGAAGGAATTGATAGTGAAAAAATTGTTAGTGAGGGGATTAATAGTAAGGAGATTAATAATGAGGAATCGTTAAATTATTTTTATATAAAATAATAAAACAAATAAAAAAATATAAAAAATTAAACATTATATTTTAAAAAAAAATTCTCAATATATAAAAAATAAAAAAATTTCTAATCCCCTCACTATTTTCTAATACCATCTCTACCTCCTCCTTACCAATCCCCCTTTCAAGGGTATTAGTAATACCAAGGGGCTAATAGTTCCAAGACTATCTCTGTAAATAAACAAGAATATTAGTAATACCTTGGTATTACTAGTCCCAATACCCTCCTTATAGCCTAAAACAAACGCCCTAACGTAGTAACGGTTGGTTCAGGGTCGTTCTCATTGATGCAGTGAGATCTAGGGTTGTTTTGGGAAGTTGGTAAAAAGCTGGCTTTTGACTTTTTACCAAGTTTTTTGACTTTTTTGGAAGTGATTTGGGAAGTTGGTAAAAAGCTGGCTTTTTGCTTTTTAGTTTAATATTTATTTATGGTGTCAAATCAAACTAAAATGATCAAAATACCCTTTTTAGTTTAATATTTATTTATGGTGTCAAATCAAACTAAAATGATCAAAATACCATTACCCAACATAAGAGAGTTATTTTTTTATTTATTTTTCATAGGCCCTAATTTGTAATTTTAGGGCTGCGTTTTTAGCACTTGCCAAATGACTTTTTTGGTTTTTTTGACAGCCACATTTTTGTCCAAAAACGTGACTTTTTACCATGTTCCCAAAATGGCACCTAGGCATGTGAGATTACTTTTTGTTTTTTTAATAATATATGTTTTTTGGTTTGTTTTTAAAGTGTTCATACGACTACGGATTATGACCAGTGATTAGACATGTTTAGGATGGTCAGCGAATTTAGCCTTCTAACGGCTTTTTAATTTTTAATTTTTTTTTTGATTATTTTAATTTGTGTTAAAAAATCTCATTTAAGTTAATTTTTTTAATTTTTTTAATTTTTATAAGAAAAAAAATAAAATAATTATAATTTGAATGTGATATTTTGTCATATTATATTTAAAAATTATTTTATCATTTTATAATTAAAATAGGCCCAACACAACCCAAACTTTCATGCCAAACAAATTCTTAATATAAAATTTGAAAAGTCTATTTTTTTTGTAATTTTTTTGGGTAAATTACAAACACCTCATCGAGATTTTGTAAAAATACAAATTTCTCCCTGAGGTTTGAGAAATTATATCCCGCCCCCTGAGGTTTATATTTCCATAACAAATTGTCCCATGAGGTTTTTATTTTCATACAGATTCTCTCCTAATTTGTTATGCAAATTTGACTCTCAAAAGGCAATTCATAATTTCTCAAATCTTAAAAGGGAATCGATATTTTCACCAAACCTCGAGAGTGTTTGTAATTTATCCTATTTTTTTTTCATATTTCAAGTCGGTTTCATTCTTCTACAAACTCTGACTAGTGATTAGACATGAACCATTGGTTTGGGGGGGGTCAATGAGTTTAGCATAAAATTACAAAAGTCATTTTTTTATATTTTTTATTTTTAGTATTTTTTCAAATTACATGTTTTTTTTAAAAAAAAAATAAAAAATTTAAGTCCATTGGTATAAGCAAATTTAAAAATTAAAGGAGAGACAAAACAAAAATGAAAAATTCCAACTACTTTATACTCTTTTTTTTCAAAATTTCTAAATTATCTTTAAACATCTGCAACTGGTCTAGTCGACTAAAATGTAAGTAGATTTAAAAATAAAAAATAAAAGAACACAATAAAGATGAAAAAAATATGAAAATATAAATTGTATATTTATTTTTTCTATATTATAAATATAAATAATGTTTGAGAATTTTAATGCAGCTCTAATAATGTAGAGAGTATCCATGTGAAGGTGAGACCCACACTTCTCCCTCTATCTCTTTCTTTTACTTCATTAGAGTTCCATTTAGAGTTTTAGAATTAGAACTATATATCATTACTGAAAATTAAATTTATTTTTATTATTGTAATGATTATCTAATTCTACTAATTCTTGTCTTATCATCCGATCCGATCCCATGTTTGGAATCTTTAGAAGTAGCTAAAATTTTGAAAAATTATTTTTTTAGTAAAATGAAAACGGTAAGTGTTTCGACTAATTCATTATTATACGCACAGGGAGAATGAAAAGAAAGAAAGAAAGAAAGAAACAAAAAAAAAACACAAGAAAGGTAACTTTGCACAACGACATTGATTTATTGTTTGCTAAAGGCCAAACACACATGAAACGATAATACAAACAAAATGAAACATATTGCAAGCACGTCCACTGATATACATAGAATAACAGGTTACGGGACTCAGCGACAACAGCTCACATAGATCCTTAGATGAAACCCAAAATAAAATAAAATAAAATAAGTAGAAGACAATTCCTAAACTTATTCAGACTTTAACTGAAACGAGAAATAAACTTGTTGTTGCGGGTCCCTCATTTAGTCCTTATCTTAGTGATAGAGCTGAAGTGTCGGGATGCGATTAGGGCCTTCACATTCGGCAGAATATGAACTGCGAGTGGGAAAGTAACGGAGCTTCAGTGTTTCTCCTACCTCCAGTTGATTGTGATTTACAAATTCAAGCCATTTTTCGCGTTCCAACATCCTTTTACTACCATCACCGCCACCTATTGTTGTCTGAAACTCCCAATGCTTATCAGTTTGATCCCACACAACCATGATGGGCTGGTTGTTCTCATCAAGTGAATAAGTTGCCGTCAGCGGTATATCCAACGTGCCGGTAAAATCTTCTTGGGAGAGCTTCTTCTCATAGCTTCCCTCACTTGAAGTAATTCTCCAACCACTAAACAAATTAAACGATGTGATGATGAATCAAATGTATATGCTATGTTGTTGAAAAAACAAAAAGAAGAATTGAATGTGTTGTAACATAAATTCATCGACAAAAAAACAAAAACAAAAACAAAAACAAAAAAAAAGAAAAGAAAAGAAAGGAAAAGACGATATGTGTGTAGAGTGAAAGAGAGAGAGAGAACATATAAACCAATTGACGTGGTAAATTTGATATTACAAAATTACCCACTTTCTAACTCAAAAAAACAGTAGTAGCCTTATTCACAGAGAGGATGTAGATGACAAGAGAAGAGACTATGTAGAATAATTTAGAGAGAGAGTAAGAGAGAGAGAAAGAGAGGGTAATTAATTTTGTAATATCTTGTGTCTACCTCGATCATTTGTAACAACTTTACTCATCTTTTAAATTTATCTTTGTACTTTGTACTCAAATTTTTTTTCTTTATTGAATTTTTTTTTAAAAAAATTAAAATTAATAATAGTTTCTACAAAGAGAAAAAGAAAAAGAAATTCAAACCCGACCTGAGCAGTTGGCGTTCGAATTCCACGGAATATAAATTTCGAGTGGGATTGAAATAAAAAGTAACAACAACACCTTCCATGAGACCATGAGCCTTGGTAAATCTACCCCACTGGCCTTGCAACCTCTTTCGCTTATCCTTCTTTATAGCCACCGTAAACTTCCATCGCTCTCCAGTTTGATCCTGTACAAGCATCACTTCTTTGTTTTTCTGGGGTAAATTAGCTGCGTCACGCGGTACCTCGAGGATGGTTTTGGTAGCATCTGACCTCGAGAGTGCCTTCTTAAACCAATAATTCATTCTTGAACTCATTCTCCAAGACCTAATCAAATTAAAAAGATGTTTTAATTAATTAAAAGTATGTATGTATATGCAGAGAATTACAACATAAATTAATCCAAAAAAGGAAACAAAAAAAAAGGTACACATGTGTTTTGAGTTCTCACGATAAAAACAACAAACAATAGATCAATTGATAAAAAAAAAAAAAGGCCGACAGTACTACAGCCAAAATAGAGAGAGAGAGAGAGAGATCTTGGACTTGCTTGTAAAGATTGAGAGAGAGAGAGATCTTGGACTTGCTTGTAAAGATTCAGGTATTTATAGAGAGAGTGCTGACTTTAATGTCATGCTGTTAATTAATTTATTATTGATAGTGATGACGATAGCGGTGTGTAATATGTACTGACCCAAAAAAAAATAGTTGTGATAGTGACTAGCACTGCCATGTAAGGTTTGACAATGTACTTGAATGTAGATGGTCAATTGATATCAATAATTTTGATTAGATATGTACGTAAGATTTATGATTTTTATATTTATTATATAGATATAATTACACTTATAATTATATGAAATTAAAATAAATTTAAAATTTATAGATAAATTCCTTACACTTCACCATGACTCTATGAATTATTATTTTATTTGAGTGATGGTGAGAAAGAATGTATAAAAAAAATAAATAAATAAATGTGAGAATTATGAGATTTATTTGAATGCCTTAGCTTTGAAATTTTTATGTTTGTTACCATTAGTAAATGAGAGATTGTGTATATATATTGTTGCCTCGTTCTCAAGAGTAGACGAGTGCTTTGATTTACGCGCATATGTATATGCTAACCATTCAGGGAGTGTGGATCAAACTCGGGACAATATCCCCGTGCAAGTTTGGCTTCGGAGCGGTGTTAGGTATACGGGAGGCACATGGGATATATATGTAGGCCGGAAGTGAAGAGCCAAAGTGGTGGAGTTAAGATACAAATAATTAAATATGAACTTATTGGTGTAGTTTGAATTGCTTTGATTTATACATCTCAAAAAATAGTAAGCGGCATTGTTAAATTATGAAATTTGGGCAGAGAAGTGTACATGTAATTCTAGACAACTTTTTTATTTTAACTTCGTCTTAAAAAGATCGATTAGAACTTATGATCAGATGATCTTGGTTATACTAATTTTTATTCATTTTACCAATGCAGATTTTAGAGGCTGTTTTAACTTACGAACCGAGCTCATTTTTATTGATTTTGCATAAACTGATGTAAAACATTATTCTGAACACTTTCGTGTTTTGAACTTTTCTCGAAAAAAAAAAATCATCTTAAAGCAGTTTCTTTTCATTTTTAGTTCTAGATTTTTCGATCGAATTCCGTTTAGATTCTGCTATTAAGTTTTTCTCTCATTCTGTTCAGTTTCTACTAAATTCGTCCACAAAAAGTTTAGAAAATTTGATTATGTACAATTTTTGCTCTTTGAGTTTTGGTCAATTCGAATGATTTAAGCATAAAACTGTGCGTTTTTATACTGCTTCAGCAATTTACTTATGATTAAATTATACTAACTTTATTTTTTTTACAGAATGGTGGGTCTTACTAACTTTTTATGCAGGGCTGACCCACCATAATTTTTATGTTTATTTTGTTTATTTTATTCTCAATTTATATTTAGTTGTGTACGGATAAGAAACTAAATGTCACCGTATCTCGGGAAACTATCATTTCGTCTCGGTGCAGGTGGAACTACTTGTCTTGTCCCATAACAAGAATTAAATGTATTTTTTTGTTTGTGTCTGGCGGACACGTGGGTGTCAAATCTTGTACTCATACCAGTGTACTTGTTTACTGACCCGTTTTGTTTCTTGGCATCTCGGGTGCGCTCTGTTTGAGCACAACTGCGTTTCCTTTACAAGATTGGTTGGGATTACGGTGGTGAGGAGAAATAACTATAGTTTTTGGACATGTCTCTTAGATTTCTTTTGTTTTCTTGAATTTAGGGTTGATATTAATTTATTGTATTTTTTTTTTTTTTATGACCTTAGTATTTTGACAATTTGACATTATGGGTTATTTTTCAACTTTACATTATTTAAGTTGTTTTGACTAGTTGTTACTTAATGTTGGAGGTATTGGATAGTTATAAAATTATGATGGATGGTTTGGTTGACATTTTGTTAGTTTTTTTTTGTTTTTGTTTTTGTTTTTGTTTTTGTTTTTTTTTTTCCCTTGTAATCTTTTGAGCATGGAAATTTATTTAAACCTTATGGAGACGAGAATGTTTAGATTTTGTTTCACCCCTACAATTTGGATGATGGAATATTGATTGGAGTTTAATCCTAATTTAATATTTAATTGTCCAAATTTTGGGACGTGACAGTTTGGTATCAGAGCTCTGGGTTACCCTCAACTTGTGAGAGTTTAGGTGATTCTCGAATTGTGGAAACATGGGTTAGCTAGTTTAGTTTGGTGGTTGAATTTATTCTACGTATTTAAGAACGGATTTTTGTGTGTTTAACTTGAAGGTGATGGCTGAAAGGTATATTTAATCTTTTTTAAGAACCCATTAGAGTATTTTTTGATAGTGGTTCCTCTCATTCTTTCATATGTAGACAGTTTCTAGACAGAGAACACCTTGTAACTATTTCCTTATCTAGACCTATTCGTGTTGAGACCCCTTTAGGAGGGGCAGTTACTCTTTATGAGATATGTAAAGATTTTGAGGTTGATTTTGCGGAAAGTGTCCTGTAAGTGGACCTAATTGTGTTAGGGTTTGAGGGGCTTGTAATTATTTTGGGTATGGATTGGCTGCAAAAACACTTTGCGACTCTAGATTGTGCTGGAAATACTGTGAATATAAATATTCTTGGTATGCCACGGCTTACCCGTACTTATAGCGATGGAGGAGAGTCAATAATGACTAGTTTTCTGTGCTCGGTAGAAATCCCTAAGCAGAATATTAGTGAGATAGATGTGGTACGTGAGTTTGAGGATATATTTCAGGAGATACCTAGACTTCCACCTCGACGGGTAGTAGAATTTTGCATTGACTTAATGCCAGGAACTGCACCGATTTCTAAGGCGGCATACAGAATTGCACCTAAAGAGCTTGTGGAGATGAAGAAGCAGCTGTAAGAGATGTTTCAAAAAGGATTCATATGTTCACGTAACTCCCCGTGGAGAGCAACCGCGATCTTTGTCTCCAAGAAAGATGGCACTTTCCACATGTGCATAGATTACAGAGAGCTTAACAAGATGACTATCAAAATCAAGTATCCACTACCTAGAATTGATGACTTGTTTGATCAATTGAAGGGGGCAGCCGTGTTCTCTCAGTTTGATCTTAGAACGGGTTACCATCAGATGGGTGTGTCAGAGGAAAGTATATCGCTTACTGCTTTTCGGACCAGGTATGGGTTATATGAATTTCCTGTAATACCTTTCGGTTTGACAAATGCTCCTGCCTATTTCATGGACTTGATGAATAGAATTTTTCAACCGTATCTAGATAAGTTTGTGATTATGTTTATAGATGGTATCCTGGTGTATTCTAAGAATGAGAAAGAGCGCAAAGAACGCTTGAAAGTTGTGTTGCAGACTTTGAGAGAGCAGCAGATATACGCTAAGTTCAATAAGTGTCATTTTTGGGAGAAAGAAGTTTGGTTTTTAGGACATGTTGTGTCTAATCAGGGGATAGCATTAGATATTGAGAAAGTTGTTGCGGTCAAAGAATGGAAGCAGCCACGAACCCTTCAGAGGTGAGAAGTTTTTTAGGACTAGTCGGTTATTACAGGAGATTTATAAAGAAGTTTTCCACTATTGCAGCACTCATGACCAAGTTGACCCACAAGAATGTGAAGTTCTTATGGACAAATAATTGTGAGAGAGCTTTCTAAGAGTTAAAGTAGCGTTTGACTATAGCATCGATGTTAACAATACCAGTACAAAGGGAAAAGTTAGTATTGTTTATTGATGCGAGTGAAACTGGGTTGGGATGTGTATTGATACAGCATCAGAAGGTTGTATCTTATGCATCTCGATAGTTAAAACCTCATGAGAGACAATACCCTACTCATGACTTGGAGTTGGCAGCAGTTGTTTTGGCGTTGTAAGTGTGGCGATACTACTTGTTTGAGGAGCGCTTTGAGTTATATACAGATCACAAGAGCCTTAAATATCTTTTTTTCTCAAAGAGAGTTGAACATGAGGCAACAAAGCTGGGTTGAATTCATCAATAGTTATGATTTCAAAATCCTTTACCATATAGGAAAAGGAAATGTGGTTGCAGATACACTTGGTCGACAACATGGGATTATAGCTTCTTTGATGATTCAAGAATGGAAGTCCTTGGAGTTAATTTTGATGCATGATGTTCAACCAATAGAGAGTGTCGAGGGGCATACATTGGTAGTTTGACCGTGCAGTCGACATTACTGGGTAAAGTTCGTCAGATGTAGTATTTAAATGGGTTCCTCGTCAGCAAGCTCGATGACCTTGTAGTGGATTTGATCGATGATTGCCCTACTGATTGGTCTGTGGATTCAGATGGGGGATTTTGATTTAGGGACAGGTTATGTGTACCTAACATTGTCAAATTGAGGAAAGAGATTATAGATGATGCCCATAGGTCTCGATATACCATTCACCCTGGTGAGACTAAGATGTATCATGACCTGAAGAGGATGTTTTGGTGGAAAAGTATGAAGAAAAACGTAGAAGAATATATTTCTCGATGTTATGTGTGTCAATAGGTTAAGGCAGAACACCGATGATCGTTTGGACTTTTGTAGCCTCTTGAGATCCCTACTTGGAAATGGGAGCACATCTCTATGGACTTCATGGATAGATTGTCGCTCTAAGTGAGGTAATGAATCTATTTGGGTGATAATTGATCGACTCACCAAGTCTGCTCATTTTATTCCTATCAGTGTTCACCGAACTATGAATATTCCGGAGGTGGTGCGATTTCATGGCGCGCCAGTTTTTATAGTTTCAGATCATGATTCGTTGTTTGTAGCAGAGTTTTGGGAGAGTTTTCAGCATGCTTTGGGTGCTAGGTTAGACCTGAGCACTGCTTATCATCCACAGACATATGGGTAAACTGAGCGGGTAAATCAGATCTTGGAAGATATGTTGAGAACTTGTG